GTATCTAATATAGAAAGTATAAGATTGGAGAAAGAGAGAATTGTGTATATTATATTTAGTAGTTACATGTAAAAAAGCTTAACCTATATATATATATATATATATATATATATATATATATATATATATATATATATATGAGATTATTTTGTAGACCCCCCTCATTTCCAAATTATATAGAACTAACTACCAAGTGGATTACACTCTAGGGGAAACCCCCCTCATTTCGAAAATATTTTGACATACCCCCCTGGGCTACCTTGAAGTTCCTATAATACCCTTCTAAAATCAGTTTTAACCCTAGCCACTCACGGTCTCTCTCTTCTTCTCCCAGATTCAAAATTCCGCCTCTACAAAACTCTCACCGGCGAAATTGCTTCCCGGAGCCATAACTCTCTCTCCGGTGGTCGGAATTCGATGGTTTAACTACCGTTGGATTCCTCTCGTCGAGCTCTTTCTTTTGGTGGTGATTTCATTCAGTTTCGAGCGCGGGTCTGTTTCTGCAATTTTTTTTCATTCGAGGACGGTGGTCTTGCCGGAGCTTTATTTTGTGTTCCACCCGTCGAAATTTGACGGGTCATCCACCGTTGGATTCCTCTTGTCGGGATCTATATTTTGATGGTAATTTCGTTTATTTTTATCTTTTCAGATTTATTTCTATATTTTTTTGCATTTCCCAGCAATAACCTCTCTCTATCTCTCGATCTCTTAGTGTTTGTTGATTTTTGAGTGTTTTGATGTTTTTTTTCAAATTTTGTTGATTTGCACTAAAATAATTTCTTTTTGTTTTGATTTTGCAATTGCAGCTTAATGAAGACCATTGATCCTTTCCTTGAAGGTGTCAAATTTTTTCTTTGAAGTTACATCTGATTTGTTCAATAGACTGTATACATTATTGTACATTACTATACATTACTATAGTAAGATGTAGTTACATATGCGTATATTTGTGTATTTTTTATTTGTATTTTTATTGGTTCTGATGGTATTTATAATTTGAAATTTGTAAATTTTTGTTGGGGTTTTATGAATTTATTTTGTATAAGTCAGTATTCGTGTGTGCATACAATTGATCGACTAAAAACATGGGGAAAGAAAACGAACATAACTATGAATTACTATAGGTACTATAGTTACATGTAGTTATTTTCAGTACTGTAAACATATTGTTTTGAAAATTAAAAAAGAAAAATTAAAAAAAAAAAAAATTAATTTAAAAAAAAATTAAAAATTTAAAAAAAATATATATATATCTATATATATATATATATATA